TTAGAAAATAGGTGACTGAAAAATCAAAACCCATAAAGGGATCAGGTCCTAGGGTGCAAAAACAAAGTGAAGAAAAGGAAATGACAAGGGAGGAACGGATAACGACAATGGAGAACTAAAAGATTTTAAATGGCAGAGTCTTTGACCCTGACATTTTAACCAAATTTGGCATGTCAAATCTTTTGATGTTGTCTCCATTCAAGGATGGAACCATTTCTTTGGAACACCAGTTCTGTACTTGCACGAACCTGAGGTGCGAGAATTTTTCTACAAAATGGAACTTCTGAAAGGTGGTGGAATCACGACTACTGTTAGGGATGTCGAAATGTGTCTGGATGAAGAAATTTTAAGGATCATTTTAGGGGTTCTTGTGAAAGGAATTCAAACAATTGAAGGTTGTAAACCATCCAGTGACTTCATAAAACTTTCCACAAAATGTGGAGATGTCAAGAATGCAGGGTTACCGAAAAAGTTTCTCAAAAGGGAATATCAGTTGCTTTATGAGTTCATCAACAAGGTGTTAGTGCCCATAACTGAAAAAAGAACAGTGGCATATGTTGGTGATCTTTTTCTTATGGAGAAACTTGATGAACTTGAAGAGACAAACCTTCCTATCATTATGCTAGAACACATGCACATGGTAATGACTTGGAAAAAGGCAAACCATGGGATTCCATATGGTTACTTGCTGAATTTTGTATTCATCCACTTCGAAGTGCCTTTAGGAAGAGGGGTACCTGGTACCACCAAGCAGATGTTTACTGCTGCTACCCTGCTGAAATGTGAGTGTGTTGAAGGAAAAGCTAGGGGCATATCTCAAGTGGCAGATGTTCTAGAGCAGTAGGTTGCTCTTAAACGGGAAGTGACTGATCTCACTGGGATTTTGAATGACAAGGAGGTTGAAATCGCTAAACTAAGTCTGAATTATAGAAGGTGGTTTCGAGGGGACCTGGTACCAGTGATGGAAATGAGCAGGCGTTGCAAAAGTTGAGGGATGAGAATACAATGTTGCTGAAGACAAATGCCTTACTCAGTGAGGAAGTTAAGGCTCTCAACAAGCAATTTATCAAGGCTCATGAAAATGCAAATGAGTGTTTGTCTATGCTTATGCGCACCCTCAATCCCCTTCCCCCTCCGTTCTAAACGTGTCATGTTTCCCTAGTTTTTCTTTTCTCTTTAACCCATGATTCAAAACTCTTGTGGCTTTGTGTTGTTTTGACTGACTACAATGGTCAATATTTGTGATCTAATGCTATTTATATTTCTGCCCTGTTCATGTATGGTTTAATATTCTCTTTATGCTTACATACACATGTTCTGTGTGGCCCAAGGCCCTGAATTCTTTATTGCCATGCATTTAGCTTGAATATGTTTACTGCTTCACCTTTTCAATGATGTCAAAAGGGGGAAGTTTGTTGTAAAGGTCGGCTGTGGAATTAGGGTCATTGAACTAAGGGGGAACATTGCTGCACTGAACAATGGTGGAATTTGTTGTGTATTTGAATGAATGTTTTTACACTCACGTGAGGCTCTGTATAAGTTGTTTGTCATTATCAAAAAGGGAAAAAATGATAAGTGCAAATGCTCCTAGATGTTTTGATGATCTCCACACAAGTGCAGGGACCTGGTCCTCTGCATAGTATGCTCGTCCAATGTCAATATGTTGTACAACTGTAAAAGTTGTCTGCATCAGAAAGTTGGTGGAGTTGCAGAGTACTCCACCAATCAGAAGTGGCGAGGGTGTTTATACATTGGATAATAATTCTTCTTGTCTTATATATCATTCATTCAAAGAGAGATATTTCAAGCTTCAAAAAACAGCAGGGACCTGATAGAGTGCTTCATTTACTTCTTGTACCAGTTGTTACTTTGTTTGCTTGTAATCGTGCTTATATTGTAGGATTCGTTTCACTTGTGAAAGAAATGTTTCAATCTTGTGTGAATCATTGTAAGAACTAGGTTAATGGTAACTTAGTTTTCTTACTCTAAAGTCTATATTAATAGGTTATGATTAGTATAGTGGGCAGTGTTGTATCTGCTCTGGCTCAGCTAAGTGATAGGAGGTATTGCTTAGTGTAGAGATTACCAAGCTAATCTCATTTTGTAAACTGACTTTTACTTTTGCTTGAAGAAGATTAGTGGAAGCAGTTTGAAGAGTCCTGTTGAGAACATGTCGTGGTTTTACTCCCTTGAGCAAGGAGGTTTCCACGTAAAGTTGATTGTCAATCTTTACTTTCAGTATTTGTTCTTTGCTGTTTATTACTGTAACTGTGTTGAGGACATGGTCCCATCTACATAGGTGGATGCATACATTCCAACAAATTTGCATTTGCAATAATAAAATATGATGTTTGTCAAGCACAATCACATAAACAGAGAAATAAAAACACACGAAAAGTACTTCTAACCTAACAAGACTAAAACAGTTGAATCCGTGAATCCTCACTCATATCCTAAATTTTTATCCTTAGCCAATCTGTAATCTCTCCTTAGTGAGTCGTGTAGTGCAATTCGTTTGGAAAGTCTCCAAATCTGGAAGAATCAAAATGAAGTCTTCTAAAAACTCTTTAGTACTAGAATGACATGACATAATTTCTAACTCCGGATGCTTGATATTATTTACTGGCAATATATCAGTTCCCACCTCAAGAAAGATGATAACCTGACAACCATCAAAAGAAACTCAGAATGCAACATTATATTCCTATCAAAAGAAACTCAGAATGTAACGCTATGTTCCTATTACACTTCTCAAATCAAAGATTTCACCATTTTTCATCCAATCAACCTATTTTTGATGTGCTACCAATAATAAAATTTGCACGCACTTTCTTTGTGTTTGATTCAATAAATATACTCTAGCAATGATTAGAAATTTGGAGATGTGCATCAAGACAAAGTTTTGTCATGCAATAAAGGAACATTAAAGATGATTAGCACATATGTATTCTATGAGCTTTAAGTGGTTAACTTGTACAAACACGCAAATCAAATTCAAATGCTTGGGATAAGCAAACGACTCCAACATTTCTTACCCAAACGTAGTGTTATGGCTTCCATATCTGTTTTATTTATGAATCCAGGTCTCTTCTGGCCTTTTAACCCAAAAAAAGCCATCAAACAGTAGATTTTTTCTAATAAGGCCATCCAAAGGTTAGCTTATAAGTAAGCTAATATGCAACACTTTCTTCCTATTACCCTTATCAACTTCAAAGGTCTCATAATTTTCATATAGCAAAACTATGTTGATATGTAAGCAATAATTTCATTTGCAAGGGTTCAAGAGTTGGGCGTGGGCATCAAGAAAATGCAGTATGGCATACAATTAAAGAACATCGTAAGCATATGGAGGAAAGAAAAAGGGTTACCTCTTTAGTATCACAAATCAAACTTAAATGTTTGGAACAAGCACACAACTCCAAAATATCTCTAAACCAACTGGTACCATCACTAAGACTTACATGATCTACATATAACAGAACGAATTCTAATTCTTGCAAAGCTTTTGGCAATGTCAACTCTCTTATGGTTTTCGTGGAAGTAATCTCTACTTCACACAAGTCCATGATGAATGAAATGAATTCAATCGAATCAAGATTTGCAGACTCTATACATATTTTACCATCAGAATAAAGAGAAAAAAGTTTGAAACCTCACCCTATGACTTGTTTTCATTGTTCTACAACCCTTTCTTCTCCATTTCATGTTTTTGTCTATCTATATTTGCTCTGTGCAGGATTCTTCTTTCACATTTAGGAATCAGATCATCCCCATCAAAGTTGTTTTCTTGGGATTCCTCCCACTTTATCAACTAGTAAATTGCAAGGCCAACAGAACAGACCATTGTACCAGCCGCTAGATTGCTAAATTTTTCAGCCATTTTATCTGTATCTACATCGAATCTCTTCTGCATTGGTTGATTATGAATTCAAGAAGAACAAAAAATAAAAGGAAAAAGAAAGCTTTTCATCTCATTCATTCTACATAAGAGCTTCTTCAATGGTGGAGTTATCACCTTCTCAATGCATTTCCATTGCGCGAATTTGGCCATCATGTTGAATGAATGTAATTGAAATTTCTAGAGCCCTTTTTTTTTTCAGTTTTCTATGTACTTATCTGTGCTCTGTACAATATTGTCACACGTTTTGGAATCAAAATCCCATCAACTGTGTTTTCTTGGCTTCCTTCCATTCTACCCACTTATAAAGCGCAAGACCAGTTGAACAAACAACAATTTCAGCCATAAGATTGCTGCATTTTTCGCCATATCATCAATATCAAGATTGAATTGCTTCTTCATCGGTAATGGGATACTCTCGTCAGTCTTGTACACCCTACAGGCTTCTTCTGTTCATATTAAAAAAAAGGTATTAGATTATTAATTCATAACACTTGAACAAAAATTGAAAGAAGAAAAAGTATTTACCAATGGAATACTATCTAGGAGAATCTTGCAACCATATTGAATGAAGTATAAGGAACTATATATATATATATATATAAGGAACCCGCTCCGCCCCATAGACCCACCCCTCATAAATTTTTTAAATGTTATTCTTTTCTAGTTAAGTTTGATACTAAAAAATTAAATTCGTAAAAGTAAATTCATTTTTTCACTAAGTTGTGTTAATTTTATAGATAATGACTTAAAAATTTATTTTTTATTGATCAAACTGGAAGCATGTAAGAAATCTTATTAGTTTTGATTGAATTATTTTCATTTATTATCTTGAATATCTTAATAGATAATGTTATATTACTCTTATAAGATGTTAGTCATTTATTTCCAATACAACTAGTTGGATGATTTTGTATAAATTTTATTTACTAATAAAAAGATGTGAGTAGTTTTATTCAAAATTCCAAAATATTATCTAATATACAGAGTAGCAAGTTTTTTCCTATGGTTTTATTTAAACCTAAATTGAAATTCACAACTGAATAAATAATTTTATTGTTACATCAGTGAACAATTATTGCACATCTAGAGTCATCCATACATGTTACTGAATACATAACCCCCGAAGCCTTTGAGAATTATCAAGTTCTGGGCACACAAATGGTTTGTTTACTCCTCCTGATCCCTTTTTATTACTACTATTTAATATGTCTTCCTTTATATTGCTTGTGATGGAGATACTATATCTAATATCACGTCTAAAGAAAATATATATCTCAATGAAAACTTGATGTTCACACAACATTTTTTGAGATTGAAAAGCTTAGGTAGCCATCTGACTCTTGCTTCCTCCAAGAGAAGAGAGGTGAAAAAAGAAGAAGATGTAAGTATTCAAAAGTCTGATGGGCTATTTGCCTTGTGTAAGCTGTTGTTATAGCTAATAATCTCATGCAGTTGTACATTAACTTAATGTAATTATTCTTTCAATATTGATTTTACTTTGCCATACATAAGCATCACAACTTGATTCTACTTGGTTGAAATTTGTTGATGTTGCCCATTTTTTTCATGCAAGGAGGATTTCTTAGGTTACTTTTTGCATTCAGTTTGTTTTTTTGGTTTCTCGCTCGGTATATATGATACTCATTTAGGGGTCTGTCAACTGATTAAATTTAAATTTGTGCATTTCACGACCCATTTTTGGGGGAAGTTTTGGTATTCCACACTCTTGTTTCTTTTCTTAATTTGGCCAATTCAATCTCTTGGCGCTTCTATGAAACGGTTTTACAATATCATTTTTGTGGTTGTCAATTTGTCAATGGAAATCCATTTGAATTGAGTAGTAGTTGTCAAATGGAATGTTGGAATTGTCATTTAAAAAAGTAAAGTTGCTTTTGGGGGTAAACTAGTGGAGGATTGTGGACCCTTGTAATAGTAGTAAATACATCCCAAAAGAGGAACAAAAAATCCTCCTGAAATAATGCTTGGAAAATAACTTTTTAGTTTAATTGTTTCAATTTATGCGATTCATTTTTTCATGTAGTCAATTTCAAAAAATAATAACATATATAATTTAGTTTTGAAATTCTCATTTTATCAATGAAATAATTTATAGTCATAGAAATATCTACCATTCATTTTAAATTAGAAATTTTTTTGTATTAAGTCAAACTACGTCGGGACTCGGGAGTAATGGTTTTGAAGTCATGAAATTGTATGTTTACAGTATCTGTGAACCACCGCTATATTTGGCTCTAAATTAGCATCATTAAAAAAAAGTTATACTATATACAATTAGGGGACCCCTCAAAATCTAGCAATCAATTCAAATCAGTCCAAAAGTTTAATTATTTAATTGTCTTAAAAAACAATGTTTCTCTTAATACGCCTTAATGGAACTTTGTTTCTCATATTTCCCTACAATGATTACCTACTTTTCCATCTTTTTAATTAAACCACCTTTTTAATTAAGCCTTAATAGACTTTTTAACCTTTGTTGCTTTATCTAGCATTTAATGAATGAAAGCTGGAAAACATAGGGTAGGTAGTAGGTAAATAGCTTCACGAATATCACAAGAGATCTTTTACTAGACAAGAATCCAATGGTGATAACTTTTTAATTTTAAGTTTAGACGCTGTCAAACTGATTTGTATCGTTTGATTAAAATCGAACTTCTTATATACTTTTTGTGTTGTAGACTTTTATCGTAGCAATCACTAAAAGATAATCCTTACTAAATATAATTTAGTGTGTTCAAACACTTTTTGAGGCTAAATTTACTAAAACATATAGACTATTATGCAACAAAATCTTTTGTCCCCATTTAGAACAATGTCAGAGCCAACATTTTTATTAAAGAGATTCAAAATATGAAGAAGTAAAAACAGAAAAAAATTGAATACATAAAATATCATTTAAATCATGTAAGAACAAAATAATTTTCTATCGAAGGGATTCAATGAACACCTCGATCGTACCTGAATCCGCCATCTGATTTAGAACACAACAAACATCTCCTGCCCATTCAAAAAGTCTTTCATTCAAACCAAGCCCCACATACATAACATCAAAATAAAGAACAAAGCATGAGCCAAAAGTATAACCAGGCCCCTGCCTGCCTCCACAAAATTGAAGGGGTCAAAAGTATAATATTTTTCTTTATAATTCAATTATTTTTAATTTTTAATTTTTAATCATAAGATAAAAGTGAAGTGTTATTTCATTTAGCAATATTAAGACACTTAAATCAGGACATAGGGATCATTAATCAACCTTCTAATATGAATGAAGTCCCTCTAAAAAAATGTCACTTCATTAAAAAAGGATTTAAAAGCATTTTTTACATTATCTTTTTATTTGTTTAATAAATATTCAACGTGCTTATAAATTAAATCAGTCAAAAATTATAAATTGGTCACCTCTAATATATAATTTTTAAGTTTATAAACATTTTTAGTTTAACAAAAGTTTTTACTATTTTATCATTAATATTTTTAAAATATATTTCCCAAAATAAAACATCTTTTTCATTCCATATCTGTTGTTTCTCCTTCTCTTTACAAAAGATACTACTCCATTAAATTTGTTTGTTTTTTTGGTAAAATTTTAAAGAATATTTTAAATAAGAAGTACCTTATCATAACTTTTTACCAAACAATTTTATTACTTATTATCAATTTCAACATTCTATTCAAACTATTAACTGTTTATTTATTAAAAAATCTATTTCCACACTTGAAACTTATAACTTATAGCTATTTACAATCAACTAATCTAAACCGGTTCTTAGTCAACTTCTTTTTGTCCTAAACTATTTTCATTTAATTTAATAATAATAATAATAATAATAATAATATACTGCTACACAACTTTTGCTAATTTCAACAATTTATTAAAAAAAATAAAAAAGTTAAAAACTGAAAAAAGTAAAGTAATAGGACCATTTTTTTTTTGCCTCTATATTTGGCCTTTCTTGTCTACTGTCGACTATACCTTCATTCAATTTCTTTCGCAAAAGTTTCCATTTTTCCAAAATGGGCTGCTGTTTCAGCTCCACCAGAAAACGCCACCGCTTGTCGCCGCCGTGTTCCGCCGTGAAAGGCCGAGATCCACCGCCATTGGAGGAAGAAACTGTCAAAGAAGTTCTTTCTGAAACACCCATTCCCAAACCCCCCCACCCCTCACCACCAAAAGTCCTAATCGACGACAAAGTAGCTGACTTTCCTCCAGTCAAAATTGAATCAACGGCTGTCGTTAAACCCAGAGAAGAAATCAAGTTTGAATCAGCGGTTGTTGTTAAACCCAGAGATGAAATGAAGTTTGAATCGACGGCTGTGATGAAACCTGAAGTGTCTGAAGAGCCTTCGGAGATGTGTAGCTTTACTGAAAGCTATTCCACGACGGCGACGGTGACGGAGAAGAGAGAGGAAGATGGGGAAGTAACTCAGAGGTCACCGATTAGAGTACATAGGAAGAGGCAAAACACTGGAGATCTCAACGGAGTTAGAGAGAGAAGCTTTCGGTCTCAGACGGGAAGATCGGCGCCATCTCCGGAGAAAAGAAGGTCGCCGGCTACGTCAAGGGGAGTACAGGGGAGGGGAATGCCGCAACAGAGGCGAAATGTGGGACCCCCAAATGGGACCCGACGAGCTCCCACCGACAATGGGGTTCGACGGTCGAATTCTCCGGCGACACGTGGAACGGTGGATGCACGTCGGAATGTGAGAAACAGAAGTCCGGCGGCGCGTGAAACAGAAAAACCTGGTAATCTATCGCCGGCGAGAAACGCCGAGAACGAGGTAAGTAGTAGTAAAACTGAAAAATCCAAAGAAGAAGTTCCGCCGGAAACCGGCGAGTCACTTGAAAATCCTCTGGTTTCTATGGAATGCTTCATTTTTCTGTAGGCGAAAGGAAGAAGAAAACAAAAACGTCGTCGTTTAAGCTGTTAAATCTTGAAGGAGGAGTATGTCACTATTTTGGTAAACTATGGGGTGAAAAATTCACATTTTGTAAATATAAGGTAGTATAATGTAATAGTACTAACTTGATTTTACTCTCAAATGTGACATATTTAATTTTGTTCAAATCATTATTTGTCATGATTTTTACTTGTTTCATAAGTCTTTCATGTCATGATAATTGATATAACTTGAAGACAAAATAAGGACAAAAAATTTATGTTAATTTGGGATGTTATAATATGTTGTTCAATTGAACTTATTTAAAATAAATATTTATAAAACTTTTACTTATTTTTTTCATCATATATCTATGAAAATATTGAGTTTGATGGAATTTGTATATGCGCTAATACTACCAAATAGTCGTTTGGTACATGAGCTAAGATGGGATATTCAAGAATTAAACTTGAGATTAATGTTGTATTTGGTTGACGGTCAATACAAATTTAATCCTAACTCATCCAATTCCATTGAATTTGAAATTATATATTTTATTTCAAGTTCTAGGTGGGTTAAATAACCCAAGAAGAGTTATGATCACATAATAATTTAATCTACATATCAAACGATCCTTAAAATAGCAACAAAGTTAGAAGGATAAGTATGGATTCAGCAAAACCTAGCAAGTTTAATTTAAACTATGCTTGTATTAAGAAATTTACTATGTATATATAAATATTAAATTTAAAATTCAATTACGAAATATGATATAGCTATGGCCTATGTTAAAATTTAAAATCTATAAAATTAACATTTTAGCTCCGCCCCTTACCAGGCTAAAGGCATGTGGATGTGAAAAAGCAAAAAAAAGTGATTTTTGGTGTTAGTGAAAGGTTATTGAGATTGTCATCCAAATGGAGATTTGTGAATGTGCAGCTTCTGTTCCCTCCTTGGGATGAATTTTTTTCTTTTTTTCTATGAACATGCCTGTTGTATTTTATTGTTGTATATTGTTAATTAAATTGCATTTCTAATTTATAGGGTTTTAATATAAATGTTTTAAAGATTGCAATTTTGCATGCTCATGCACAAATCTTGTGAGATATGTCATTGGGAAGATAACTTTAACTTGTGTTGCAAAAATGACAAGAAAATGATAGGTCAACACTCAACACTAGATTGTCCTCATTTGATCCAATTATTTTGTTTTGTCATCCTGGCTAGGGTATCGTAATAGGGTCCGACTAATTCAAATTCAAATCGTGTCAAGTCCATTACAGAAGAAAACACTCTTTATATATTCAAAAGTTCAAACTCGAAATTTTTGATTTAAACCTAATGAACCCTATTCATTTCATCATAGTTTTTAGACATAATACACAAATATGTCATTTAACTTGACGTCATTTTATATTTATACCTTTAACTTTAAAAGTGTAAACAAGTAGATACTTAAATTTGTAAAAAGTTGAACAAATAGACACATAGAATCTATGTGACATTATACATGTAGGACACCATGCAAGTCAAAAAATTCCATCTAAAATGCCACATATAATGTGTTTGTCTATTTATTCAATTTTATACAAATTTAGCTGTCTATTTATGCATATCTAAAATTGGAGAACATATATATAAGCTGAAGCCAAATTAAAAGATAAATTTATATATTATGCCTTATTTTTTTAGGTCTCATTTGATCCAATTGTTGTTTAGTGGAAAAAGGACATAGTTATTGTTTACTGTCTTTGTCCACATGAATGAAGTTGTAGGCCACTTCAATAAATGGGGCTTCCCATTGGGTCCTCTTAGATTCTTGCTTTAGAAAATAAAATTTATAAATTTAAAATTTTAATTCCGTCTCTCATATTCTACGGAAAAAAATGAATAAATTTCGTCATATGAAAAGTATCAAAGACTTCTCTAGATCGAAATAAAAAAAAACATACTATAGTACTCCACACTCATAAAAAAATGATAGAATTAAAGGGAACAGTTCCTTCCACTTACTAGAAATCCACACGCTTCACAAAACCCAATGAAATAGTACTCCTCCATGAAATTTGAAATGGACAAGAGGGAAGAAAAAGAAATAAATTCCGCCGTTTACTTTTACTTGTCAACACACCTAAATTAAATGTACATTTTATCATAACATTCATATTAATTCATGTGTAATATTTAATAATAGGAATAAAACATGAAAAATAAATTATATTCTCTTGATACACTAAAGTAGACAAGTAGAAACAATTTTTTCAAGTATAATAGACGAGTAAAAATAAACGATAAAGAGTGTATGATGTAAGCATTGTTGGTAGAGGGTATTCTCTGATATTTATAATTCAACACGAAGGTCCTTTTACAGATACATTGACGAACATCAAATGAAAGAGACTAATATCATCAACATGAATAAATGTCTTCACCTTTCTACTCACAAGGGATAAGCTATTATTGTTCATTGTTTTAAAATAAGTATCATTCGAATAAAATTCATATTCATGTATACAAAAAAATTAATAAATATAATGGTTAGTTTATTAAAGTATCTATATTTAATAAATTTCTCTTAAAAATTGAACACTTTTAAGAAAATAAAGTATAAGTATATACTTGGAAAAAACATACTACTAATTTTTACCCCTAAGGTGATACTTTATTTTGGAATAATGACATATGTCGACATGCTTTCATCTGCTTACTAAGATTATCACAAATTATTAATGCGTGCATTTTATTATTGTGAAGATATTCCCCCACGGCACATCTAAAATATGGGGCCAAAAATTGTGGAGGAGCAAGATTTGAAGCGGTGATTGCTAAAAGAATAGAATATTCCCAACTTTCGCTTCTGAAAGATTTTGAAATAATTGTGCCACAATTGAGCGTTTCTACTTATACAAATATTACTTTAGGAAAAATTAAATTGATTATTCAAACGTATACTCGTTTTTTGTTTTATACTTATATTTTATTCATACAGTCCTGACATTTTGTCCACTAACAAAATTCGATCGATGATCCACTATACGTATTGCGATTCATTAATTTTACAGACATAAACAATATATATCAAGATCTACAATCAAATTTATCGAAACAATATATATATATACCAATCGTTAATTTCTTTATATTTGACTCGAATAAGTTCTTATTCTATTTATATGTAACTATATTTTCTTCAAATTCTCCTCCAAAAAAAGTGAATTAATCAATTCTAAGAACACAGCAATGAGTACAAAGTTCCTTCTCTCCTTCTTCCTCTATTGGTTCAAAAGCTCTCCAACCATTACCAATTGCTGATGTGTTGAACACGTGGACTTCAGTCCTCGTCATCGATATCTCGCCAGCTGGCATCCTGTATCCAGCTAAGAAGTATAGCTGAGTCCCTATAGGTGCCATTGTACAAAATATTCTTTGCATAGGTGGCGGCTTTGCCACCGTGGCATCTGACGTGGATATTGGTGAATTTGAACCATCCACTACATTCCATATATTTAAATTTTCATCATAGGCTTCAATATGTCCTTTCCATGCCTTTAAACAATCACCTGAACTGAATAATTTTCCATCAACATTTACTATTTGATTAGGTGGAACATCTAGGTCCCACATTCTTGCCACGTACTCCCAATTTTGCTGATGTGGATCGTACAGCTCAGCAGAACTTCTTTCCATGATATATGGTCCTTGGCTGTCACTATTTCCTCTTTTAGCGAATCCTCCCACCACATAAATTTTACCTAATAAGAAAAATAGAAAGACAGTGAGTCGTGGTTTATCGGAAATTGTCTTCCTATCTCACACAAAGTAAGAATAACTAAGATATGTATATATATACTCCATTTTTTCAAACCCCATCTATGAGATCACACTAGTATATTTGATTGTGTAAATATTTCTTGGTATAATACATAAATATGCCCCCTTAACTTGGTTTCAGCTAACACCTACGCCCTCCAATTTTAGGAAGTAGCCACTTAAACTTGTATAAAATTGAACAAGTAAATACATGCGTCATACGTGGAATAATACATGTAAGATGACACATAGGACACAAAATTGTCATATAGGACGCCATGTTGGACGAATATGTCTATTTATTCAATTTTATACGAGTTTAAAAATTTATTTGCATGCATAAATGTCAATAACGGCCAAGTTAAATGATACGTTTATGTATTATGTCATATTTCTTATATCGTAAGTTTGTATAAGTAAGTCCTGGGTATGAAGAATTCTGCGGTGCGCGATCTAGATATAGTCTAGACTCCAATGCGGGTTTCGAACACTGGATAAATAATAAAAAAAAGACTTGCGTTAGAAAACTAGTCAACATTACCTTGCCATGCCACAGCAACAGACTTGTACCTCAAAGTACTCATATTTGGTAATGATTCCCATTCATCTTTTACAGGATCATAAATCTCAGCAGAAGAGGTACCTTCAGCACTATCCAACGTTGTTTGTCCACCTGCAACATAAATTTTACCATCTTTACAAGTACACGCAAAATTATACCTAGGCATAATTAAACGTGCACAAGTTGACCAAGTATCCACACGCGTATCATATTTAAGCACCGAAGAACGTACACCTCCTAGCCTCATTTCTTGAATATAATTATCGTCAGGTCCATCACCAAAAGCTTTATAATAATGTCGTCCTCCTATTACATAAATTGTTTCGCCAATTGAAACCATGGCGAAACTTTTTATCACTTGGTTCTCTAGAAGGCCTGGAATTGTAGTGAGTCGATGCCAGGAATTTGTTGAAGGGCGGTAACATGATATCCAATTCGACATGTTTATGTTAGGTGTATAGTCTTTTCCACAAAAAGAAGCGTAAATTCGATAATATTGATCATTATTTTCTTGAGATAATCGAGTAGGGTTTCGTGAAGGAGATGAAATCGAACCCATGTTAATTAATAATAAATGTATATTTGCTTATTTTTCTTGGAAGAAAGGGAGCCTTTTTAAGTGTGACATTGGGTGAAATATATAAGAAAAATTATTGCCTTGTTGGA